TGGTGCTTCGGGTTTCGTTGGCTATATTCCTAGAAGTAGGATCACTGGGTCAAATGGCAGTTCCATATTTAATTTTTTGAGGAAACTCCATACTGTTTTCCATACTGGCTGCACCAGTCTGCATTCCCACCAGCAGTGTACTAGGGCTCCCTTTTCTCTACATCCTCATTAGCACTTATCATTTGTTGATGGTAGCCATTCTGACAGGTGTGAGGTGGCACCTCATTGTTGTTTTAATGATTTATTTTGCTTTCTTGTGCAGAAGCTTTTTATTTTGATGTATGGACAGTCCATTTTTTACCTTTGCTTTACAGAGAGACTTAGAAAGCAAAGTCTATTGCAGATGACTTTCAGATATACCAGTAAATCAGCCTGAAGGAACCCTGGGCAGCCAGAGCAGGAGTTGGCATCACTTTGTGGACCTAGGTTGATATGAGACCTCAGGGCCAGTATGTCTTCCAGAAGTCTTCTATATGGGCACCATTTGTTCATTTGCAGATTTCCAAAGAAGCCTTGTGAAACAGTTGTGAGGACACAGGACTCGCTGCCAGCTTTGGGAAGGCATTCCAGTGCTGCTTGCTCTGCTTTATGTAATTGGCCCAGACCTGAACCAGTCGGGGCTTCACTCCTTCCTGGTTGATGAGATGAAGCACAATTCCTTCCACCAAACACCCTGAACCGTCACACTGAGGGTTTGGGACTATCCTTCCCACCCCCCTACTTACCATACATAAAATAATTTGCATAGGTCTAGAGGGTTTTTATGTTAAGGTGGAGATTTTGTTTTTTGTTTAACAAAATTAGTAAATAATCATTAAAATATTTTATTCCTGAGTGCATATTAAGTGAATATATGCAAGCGTTAGTTTCTTTTTTAAAAAAATTAATTTGGGAGGGAGAGAAACATTAATTTGTTGTTCCACTTATTTATCTATTCATTGGTTGATTCTTGTATGTGCCCTGACCAGGGATTGAACCCACAACCTTGGTGTATCAGAGCAATACTCTAACCAATTGAGTTACCTGGCCAGGGCCATGCAAGGGTTAATTTCTAACTTAGTTACTTCCCCAGTGATTTGTCAGGTATAT